GGGTCGAGAAATGACGTGCTAGAGCCTCTAAACATGACAAATGTCTCTAAAGATGATATCTGTTTTCAATTGAAAAGCAGAGTTGTGACATCATTGTCTAGGAGGACAATGGGGTCTAGGAGTATCTATAGAACATTGGGGTCTAGGAGTCCCCCGTGGTTCAAAACCATCTTTAGAGGTCCTAGCACGCCATTTCTCGACCCGCTCTTTCGTTTGAGCTCAAAAAAACATTCATATCTTGTCTGACATCTTTGCTACAAACTCGGGTCTTCAACTCGGGTTTTCAATTGAAGGCCCGAGTTGTAGACCCGAGTTTGTAGCAGCGATGTCAGACAAGATATGAATGTTTTTTTGAGCTCAAATGAAAGAGCGGGTCGAGAAATGGCGTGCTAGGACCTCTAAAGATGGTGTTGAACCAGGGGAGACTCCTAGAACCCACTGGAAAATGTTGTCACAATTGCGCTTTTCAATTGAAAACAGACATCATCTTTAGAGACATTTGTCATCTTTAAAAACTTCTGCACGCTATTTTTCGAGCCGTTCTTTCATTTGAGCCAAAAAAACATTCATAACTTGTCTGACATCTCTGTTACAAACTCTGGTCATCAATTCTGTTTTTCAGTTGAAATTGGAATTGTTAATTTACACAATAATAGGATTGCATTGACGATTTTTTCTTAACTCGCAAAAATCTTCAAACAATTTGCTATCGATTGGTGACAAATTTTTTTGGAAACAATGAAATAGAGGGGATAACGCCTTCATTTTCAGAGGTGATTTTCCAAAAATTTATTTTAAAAAAAGTATCAACTAGCAAATGTTTTTTATTAGCTCGCAATTGTCTTCAAAACTACTTCAATGAGGAAAAAAATGAAAATTTGGAATATCTATACATGAGGGGCTAATTGATTGGATCAGATCCAACACTGTTAAACATTTTTTGCCTGAAATTTCCGGTCCACTTTTTGGAAATTTTTATCGAATTTAATTAGCACTCAAGGAATTTCAAGGAATTTCGTCATTGAAAATTCAAATTTCATGGAAAAATCAAGGAGAACTGTCAATTTCAGTTCCATTTTTCCCTGAAAATGAATAGAAGGAAACCAGAAAATTCCGGTAAAGTCTTGAATTTACGGACGGCGGTGGCTGTGTGGTTAGAGTGTGGGATTGGCATGCGGGAGACCTGGGTTCGATTCCCGGCTGGGGTGCCAACAATAGTGACATTCGAAATCTCACGATTTCATTGTCGAGCGGGAGTCTCGCAAGAGACGACCTGGGCAGGGTTTTCCCTCAAATGAGGTTTTTCCTTGTCCTTCGGCGAATACGGTACATGGGATTGGGGGGTGAGAAGGGAACAACAAATCGTAAAAACCCGAAGGGTATACGAGAAAAAAACATTTATATTCTTTAATTTTCAGGACAGTGACATTGAATGCATTTCAGGGGGAAAAATCATGAAATTTAAAATTTATTCTCGTCTTTATGCTGCTTAAAATTCTGGAATTTTACCGAGTTTTCAGTGAAATCCGAAATTTTATGATTTTTTCCCCTAAATCGCATTCAGTGTCCTGAAAATTAGTAATTTCCTTTTCTTTCTAATAGTGAATAGGGAACTTGCATGAAGCTCAATTCTTTCTAATTCCCCTATTCACACATTCCTCGTAACATATGGATAGCTAAACGGCGAAAATTATGGAGAAATATTGCCTAGATGTCTTACGATAATTAATTGAAAATCAGTGGGTTCAGAGCCCAATTTTTCGGTCATGACGTCACGAAAACGGTCACGTAACGCGTCATTGCTCGAATGCGAACGGAGTGGTGTGTTGTCGTCCTCCATTGGCCGAGGCGCGCCTGAAGATTGGAAGGTCGGCTGAGGCCGTTCTGTGATTGGTCCAGCGCTCGCCCGTCTGTATGACGTCATTAGCGATTTCAAAGCGTTTGAAATCTTCGACTTTTAATAAATGAACAAAAAAAATTATTCAACGTTCACAGGTAATTTTGAACTTTCCATGAATAGGAAATGGGGATATGGAAGCGAAATAGTTGTCAGATAATCCAAGAACTCGATTTGAAAAAGTGCTAAATTATGAAACTTTGAGGTTAAACAAGGGGATTTTCAGCGACTCGTATTTTCAGAAGATTTTAATACTCATCGGTGTAAGTCTGGACCGAAAAAAAGATGTCGATGTATTCCGTATATTTACCGTAGAAATATCAATTTTTATGGATTTTTCATTCGCAAAGTTTTCGTGTGAAATGAAAAAATAAAAAAACGGCGGGGACTCCCTAATTATGCGACCACTTAAGAGTTAATTATTAATTAACGAGCAATATTTCGAACGTTCATGGATTTAAAATGAATTATTCATTAATTATAATTGAAAAATACATGCAAGTTGCCCATTGGAGACTACTAAATCCCCAAACCAATCAGCGACTAGGAATGAAATAAAGAGACAGGTGTTCCCTCTCGCGCGGCCATGTCACATGGACAATTGGACTTCGGCCCTCCTCGGCAATCCCCGAAGCCATCTCGTTGAGAGCTGACCAAGAGCCCACTGGCAGTGGTGGGGAGGGTTAGAAATAAGGAATAGGGAATAGCCAGCGAGCTCTAACTTTACACCAGTCATCAGCAGTATTTGTCCCTCCGCCCGTACGTTTTGGTGGTTCAAAATTTTCCATTATCACTGAAACAATAACTATCAAACGTTAATTGGGTGTGAAAGCTCAAACAATCACAAAGAGAACTTGTTGACATTTCTTTTGTTCACTAGTTATGATTTGAGAGATTAAACTACCCAATGAAGAAGTGAAACCACCAATTGAAGCCGTTGGACAGAAACAACACCGTGGAAGAAGAAAAAGGGAAAAAGTAAGGGAAAGGAAGATTGAAAAGTGCCTCGTGAATAGTGTTAAAGCGCATTGAGGACGTTTATTATTCCACAAATAAAACGTGTCGCTGATATCAATTATTCAAACTGAGGATTTTAATAATTGACGTGATATCGATAAAACAAAGCCAAGTTTTTTACAGTGAATTATGTGGAATACTGAAGCGAGATTACGAACGGCCACACGTCTAGTCAGCTGACATATTGCGCCCTGCTACACCACAGCAGCCTTCGGTGAGTGTGTCGCAATAAACGCAAAAGTGAGCTTTCTCAGTTCCTCCCAACAGGGTGTACCTATTTTTACCAAATAAAATCGCTCATCCACTGAGGGGGGGAGTACCCTCGGCTCCTCCCCTCCTCCATGAACTAGACCAAATGCCCGAGTCATATAGACGTGCCCAAGAGGTCTCAATTCACTTATTTCGTATTAAATTCGTAATATCCGTTTCACATTTATTGTTCTTGCGTCCTCGGTCTCTCTGCGTAATCGTGGCCATGGGTGTGTGATAAAATCGTACGTAGAGATTACGAGTAGAATGCCACTGCCTCTTTTCAGCTTCAACAAAGAAGCCAAGCGACTACTCAATTTTCCGGGGAGAATTCTGGAAGTGATGGGGAAAAAAATTGTTGATCGCTCATTAATTTCCTCCGGGTTTTGCATTTTTTCCCCACTCGATTGCTATTTCCTGAGATTATTTCTTTTTGATTGTCGAATACGTATGAACGACGCCAGCGCCGACACGATTAGCAGCGTGAGGTGTACACTTGCACGCTCACGCTCATGCCTGCGCCCCCCTCGTGTTTCACATGGTTTCATCTCGCTCGTTCGTTTGATTCTCTTCTTCTTCTCGCTCTCTCGTTTCTGCCTCTTAACCCCTCAAGGCCCCTGCGGGAGAGTCTGTGGAGTTCTCCTCACCCTCGCCCTACCCAGTCTCAACGAAAAACTTGACAATGCCTCCGTCTGCTTCCAACGCACCTCCTGCCAACTCCGATGAAAGAGAAGAAAGAGGAAAAATAAAAAAGGGAGGGAGAGGGGCCCTTTACCATTCCAATTCTCGAATAGCGCACCAAACATTATCAGAATTTTATCCACCTATAAATCCCAGATATCCAGGAGCAGTCATTCGAAAAATGCATGAGTATTTATTTCAGTATGTGGAGACTCTCGGGTTTTTACATTTTGTGCCCTTCCCAATCCCCTTGAGGTATCAATGGATATTGTGTAAACATTCAAAAACAAAAAAGACAGACAGACACATGAAATTTCATGGAAGATATTATAGTAAATCTCAGACTGAATCAAATTTGGGGAAAAATGG